AAAGAACAGTCTCTTCAACAAATTGTGCTGGGACATCTGAATATCCATATGCAAAAGAATGAAGTTGAACCCCTTCCTCACACCATACAGAAAAATTAACTAAAAATGGATGATATACATAAGTGTAAGAGCTAAAATTATAAAACACTTAGAAGAAAATATAGGAGTAATTCTTCATGACCTTGGGTCAGGAAGGACCTGAAGCCAGGTCCAGAAGACAAAGCCTTCTTGGATATGTTTCCAAAAGCAAAAGTGACAAAAGGTTAAAAAAAAAAAAAAGATAAATTGGACTTCATAAAAATTAAAAACTTTTGGCTTCAAAGGAGATTATCGAAAAAGTGAAGGACACATAGAATGGGAGAAAATATTTGCAAAACATATTGACAAGAGGTTTGTACTTAAAATATATAAATAACTCTCTCAACTCAATAATAAGACAACCCAACTAAAAAATTGGAGAAAAATCTTAATAGACATTTCTCCAAAGATATATAAATGGCCAATAAACACACGAAAAGATGCCTGACATCATCAACCATCAGGGAAATTTAAATCAAACCACAATGAGATACCACTTCATACCCCCTAGGGTAGCTATAATTAAAAAGACAGATGGTAACAAGTATTGGTGAGCTTGTGGAGAAATTGGAGCACTTACACATTGTTCATAGGAATGCAAAATGGTGCAGCCACTTTAGAAAACTGTTCGGAAGTTCCTCAAAAGGTTAAATGTAGAATTACCATATGACCCAGCAACCCAGCAATTCCACTCCTAGGTACATATCAAGAGAAATGAAAACATGTCTACACAAAAATGTGTGCATAAATGTTCACAGCAGCATTATTCATAATAGCCAAGAAGTGGAAATAACCCAAATTCCATCAACTGATGAATGGATAAGTTTAAAAATGTGCTAGGGAACTTGTGTGGCAGTCAAGTGGTTAAGACACCATGCTTTCACTGCAGGGGATGTGGGTTCAAACCCTGGTTGGAGAACTAAAATCCCACATGCTGCTCGGCATGGCCAAAAAGATAAATAAATAATACATACATACAATTTATTTACATATCTTATTATTTACATATCTTACATACATACACACACATAAAATGTGCTGTATGCATACAATGGAATATTCTTTGGCAACAAAAAGGAATGACGTACTGATACATGCTATGACATGGATGAACCTTGAAAAGATTACGCCAGGTGAAAGAAGCCAGACACAAAAGGCCACATATTATGTGAGTCCATTTACATGAAATGTCCACAATAGGCAAATTGGTACAAAGTAGATTAGTGGTTGCCCATGGCTGGGGTGGAGGTCCAGGGGAATGGGGAATGACTACATATGGGGGTACGGGGTATCCTTGTGGGGTGATGAAAATGTTCTAAATTTGTTTATATTGATGGTTGCACAACTTTGACTATACTAAAAACTAATTTAAATGGGTGAATTGTATGGGGTGTAAATTATATATCAATAAAACTGTTAACCCCTTCTCTATAAAAACAGCAGTAAAGAGAAGGTTTTAAGAGCCTCTATGGAAAAAAAGACATGATATATACAGAGGAACAAGGATAAATGATGGCTGATTTCTTGTTGGAAACAATGCATGTGAGGAGACAGTGGAACTACATCTTTACTGAAAGTAAAAACTATCAACCTAGAATTCTAGAAACAGAACCACCCATACCTATATGGTCAGCTGACTTTCAACAAAGGTGCTAAGACAATTCAGTGGAGAAAGAAGAGTCTTTTCAACAAATGGTATAGGTACTATTGGATATCCATACAAAAATAAAATAATCTGGAACCATGTCTTTACACCATATACACAAATTAACTCAAAATGGATCATAGACCTAAATGCAAAACCTAAAACTAAAAAAAACTTCTTGGAGAAAATTTAGAAAATCTTTGGGATCTTTGGTTAGGCGAAGATTTCTTAGATACAACCAAAAGAACAATCCATGAGAGAAAAATAATGGATAAATTGGAATTCATCAAAATTAAGAACTTCTGCCCTTCAAAAGACATTGTTCAGAAAATGAAAAGATGAGCCACAGACTAGAAGGAAATAATTTCATATCACGTAACTGATGAAGAACTTATGTAAAGAATATATAGAGAACTCTTAAGACTCAACAATAAGAAAACAAGTAACCCAATGAAGAAACTGGGCAGAAGATTTGATCAGTCATTTCATGGAAGAAGATATATGGATGCATTTATTTATTTATTTATTTAAAAATTTTTTATTTTAAATTTAATTTTTTATTTAAAATTTTTATTTTTAAATTTAAATTTTTTAAAAAAAATTAAATTTTTATTTAAATTTAAAAATTTATTTAAAAATTTTTTGCCACGCGGCTTGTGGGATCTCAGTTCCTCGACCAGGGATCAAACCCAGGCCCTCAGCAGTGAAAGCGCCAAGTCCTAACCACTAGACCACCAGGGAATTTCCTGGATGCATTTAAACACACGAAAAGATGCTCAACTTTAGTCATTAAGGAAATGCAAATTAAAACCACAATGAGGGACTTCCCTGGTGGCACAGCAGTTAAGACTCCGCACTCCCAAGGCAGGGGGCCCGGGTTCAATCCCTGGTCAGGGAACTAGATCCCATATGCATGCTGCAACTAAGAGTTCACATGCCACAACTAGGGAGCTGGTGAGCCGCAACTAAGGAGCCCGCCTACCACAACTAAGACCTGGCACAACCAAATAAATAAATAAAATTTAAAAATAACATAAAATACCCTCTTTAATAATCGTTTAAAAAAAAAAGCAAGCAAAAAAACAAAAAACAAGAAAACCCCACAATGAGACAGTACTAACCATCTACTAGAATGGTAAAGTTAAAAAGTCTGACCAGGGCTTCCCTGGTGGCGCAGTGATTGAGGATCTGCCTGCCAATGCAGGGGACACGGGTTCGAGCCCTGGTCTGGGAAGATCCCACATGCCGCGGAGCAACTGGGCCCGTGAGGCACAACTACTGAGCCTGCGCGTCTGGAGCCTGTGCTCCGCAACAAGAGAGGCCACGATAGTGAGAGGTCCGCACACTGCGATGAAGAGTGGCCCCCGCTTGCCACAACTAGAGAAAGCCCTCGCACAGAAACGAAGACCCAACACAGCCATAAATAAATAAATAAATTTAAATCATACGGGCTTCTAAGAAGACCTCTGCTTTAAAAAAAAAAAAAAAAAAAGGTCTGACCAGACCTAGTGCTGGTGTGGATATGGAGCAACTGGAACTCTCAGGAACTCCTGGTGGGGATGAAAAAATGGTAACCACGCCGGAAAACAGTCTACCCAAGAGAAATGCAAGCACGTGTTCACACAAAGACTTAAACACAAATGTTTGTAACATAGCCCCAAATGTCCATCAACAGGTGAATGGATAAACAAATCTTGGCATGTCCAACAATGGGACACTACTTATTAATTATAAAAATAACTATTGGCATACACAGTGGCATAGACGAATCTCAAAATAATTATCCTCAGTGACAGAAGACAGTCATACTGCACTCTTTTGTACTATACCAACGAGTGCCTACTGTATGATCCCATCTACATGAAGTTCTGGACGGTGCCACCCAACTGCAGTGACAGAAGGGAAAGAAGGCCCACGTGGCTGCCTGGGCAGAGGGGGGCGTCAGAAAGGGCACAGGAACCCTTGGGATGATGGGGAGTGTGGTGATGGCTTCCCGGGTGACTACACATGTCAAAACTTAGCTAACTTTACACTTTAAATACGTGGAGTTTATCATATTAAATTATACATCAATAAACTATTAAAAAATGAAAAGTAAAAAGCCTGTAATCTGTGTAAAGCATTTAAGACTGCCGGGCGTGTAATAGCTGCTCGTTGAAAGTCGGCTCTTATTTTTGAGGGCTTATGTCTCAAGGTCAAGGGCTCAAAGCAGGCTGAGTGGCTTCGGGAAGGGGCCCTGGCGCCCCCAAACACACCGCCCTCGCAGAGCCAGGCGCCGACGGCTCTGCTCTGCCAACTTCCGGTGGAGCCTGTTCGCCCGCTGCTGGCTTCCGGCGGTACCGCAGGCTGCGTGCCCGGCGACGCCACTCCCCGGCGGCTCCTCCAGCCCGTCCGTCTACACCCGCTCGCGGGCCTCCACAGAGACTTAAGGCCCCCAGCACGGAGCTGGGTCAGAAGTGCGCAGATGCCCGTGTGCTCCAGAGCCCTCCCCACGAGGAGGCCCATGATTGGGGGGCGAGGAGAGAGAGGGGACGCCTCGGGTAACTCCAGCCACAGCTGCTCTTCAGAAGGAACCAGGTCCACCGCGCCCTCCCCACAGCCTCCCCTCGGGTCCTGTACTGCCTTCTTCCAGGGCAGCCATGGCAACTGTAGAAAAGCCCCTGCCCCAAACCCTCCAAGCTTCCTCTGTCTGGGAAGTCCATGGGGGGGCTCTGCTGCTGTGGCTCTGTAGACAGAGACACACACGTGTGTGCCACGGAGTCGTGATGTGGCGCTGGGCCAACTGGTGTCCACATAGAAACAAAAAGGTGTGACAGGACCCCCATCACCCACCATCCACGAAAATCAGTACCATGCGGGTTGTAGTCCCAGTGAGAAAGGTAAAACGATGAAGTTCTAAAAACGTGGAAGGACATGGCGAAATCTTCATGACTTTTTGGGGCAGGCAAAGAGTTCTGTAAAAAGACAGAAGCAGGGCTTCCCTGGTGGCTCAGTGGTTAAGAATCCACCTGCCAGTGCAGAGCACACGGGTTCGAGCCCTGGTCCCGGAAGATCCCACATGCCGTGGAGCAACTGGGCCCACGAGCCACAACTACTGAGCCTGCGCTCTAGAGCCCGTGCTCCGCAACAAGAGAAGCCACCGCAATGAGAAGCCCGCGCACCGCAACGAAGAGTAGCCCCCGCTCACCACAACTAGAGAAAAGCCCGCGCGCAGCAACAAAGACCCAACGCGGCCAAGAATCATTAATTAATTAATAAAAAAAGACAGAAACAGTGATAAGCATAAAGAACATTGTTGATAATTTGGACTATGTTAAAATTTAAAACTTCTGTTCATCAAAAGGCACTGTTAAGAGATTGAAAAGTTGAGATGGGGGGGAGATATTCATAGTACAAATATTCAAAACAGAATCCTTACCCAGAATGGGTAACAAACTCCTACAGATCAATAAGAAAAAGGCATAGAAAAGAGGCAGAAGCACTGAAGAGACACACATCTTCACAAAGGAAGATGCCAGTGGGGACTTCCTTGGTGGTCCAGCGGTTAAGACTGTGCTCCCAATGCAGGGGTCCAGGGGTTCGATCCCTGGTCAGGGAACTAGATCCCACACGCTGCAACGAAGATCCTGACTGCCGCAACTAAAGACCTGGTGCAGCCAAATAAATATTTAAAAAGAAGATGACAATGGCCAGTAACTTCATTCTTAAGGAAAGTGCTGCACCAGGCAGTGACAGGCCGTAGGCAGTGTGGGCGCAGACACACTGGAGCGAGGGCACAGCCACCCCGGAAAACTGTTGGGCAGTGTCCTCTAGAGCTGGACAAACACCTCTGACCCCACAACTCTCCAAGACCGCCAAAAGAAATGTTCCAGAATGTTCATAGCATCACTCGGAATAGCTGCAAACTGGAAATGACCCAAATCTCCATCCACAGGAAAGCGATGCACGGATCACACGTGGACCACCCTCAGCGGCGAAGTTGACCAACACAGCCTTAGCCACCGAGTCCAGAGCCTGAGGAGGAGCGGGGAAGAGGACTGTGGGATTAGAAGGCAGAGAGCATGGGTACTGGTCTCTGCCCCGTTCCAGCACAGAGTGCCTGAACCTGGAAATTTCCTGCTGAGAGCACAGGAGCATCTTTTGTTCTAATGAGGCTCCTGTGGGGGCTGCTCACCAGAAAGACCAAGCCTGATGAGAAGCGTGGAACTTTCAGCCCCGCCCCCATCCTCTTGAGAAAGGAGAGGGGCTGAAAATGGGGTTAAATCGATCATGGCTGTGTGAAGAAGCCTCCACAAAATCCCGAGCGCCGGAGGTGGGTGGAGCTGCGTCCACGCTCCTTCCCACGAAGCCCTGCCCATCTCCCAACCTGGGCCCTCATCTGCATCCTTCATCCTGCCCTTTGATAATGAACTGGTGAGCGTTAGTGAATGTCTCCCTGAGTTCTCTGAGCTCCTCTGGCAAATTAATTTAAGCCAAGGGGCAATGGGTCGTGGGAAGCTCACATCTGTAGCCAAGTCGGACAGAAGTGGTGGGTGACCTGGGGACCTGCTCCTTGCCATTGGCGTCTGAAGTTGGGGGCAGTCTGTGGGACTGAGCCCCTAAGCATCTCCAGATATTATCAGAATTGAGTTAACCTGTCAGACACGCAGCTGGTGTCACCGAATTGCCTGGCGTGGGACACCCCCCCACACACACTTTTGGCGACCAGTAAAGGAGACTCACAGGAGAGACATAGGAGGGAAACCTGGGTTTTCCTAACACACAGAGGCAGCGAGGAGAGACCCCAGACCAGGCTTGCCCACCCAGGGCGGCCGAGAACGTCACCCGACCTCGCTCTTCCGGGGTGACTCGGCCTCCTCCACTCGAAGCCTCGGCTGTCGTTGTCCCCACCTGCCCAGTCTCAATCCCCTGGACCCTCCTCAGAGGCCACCCTCCTCTCCACTCTAGGTCCTTCTTAAGATGTGTTGCTGTCAGAAATGATCGTATTTACCTGTTAGTTTCAATGTTTGCTGTCCAGCCCCCCTACTCCCTCCTCTGTCCCCAGCGGGAGGGGTGTGTGTCACAATGACCAGGCTGGGGATAGGCAACACCAGCCTCGAGGGCAGGATGGCTCTGAGCAGGGCCTTTGGGGCCCAACTCTGCCACTTACTAGCTGTGTGGCTATGGACAACTCACTCACCCTCTCTGTGCCTTACCAAGCTCAACTGTGAAGGAGGATCCTCCTGGCGTCCCTCTCAGGATGGACACATTTTGGAAAAGTGCTCAGGGCACTGGGCAGGGTGATGCCTGTAAGGGGCTGTTCTCAGAGGCCATGCCTCCTGCCCGGCTCCTCCTGGTGACCTGCAGGTGGCAGCACCAGACCCCTGTTCCTGGAGAGACAGACTGCACTGCCACCCCCGCCTTGGGCCCCGCTTGCAGGAGCCTAGGTCGGGAGAGGTGCTGGTCTTGGGGGGCTGCCGGCAGGTGAGGTGACAGGAGGAGTGGGGAGGGCTGAGTTTTCACAGTGGGCGGGGCCACTTGAAGAGAAAAGGGCAGCCTTCGGCCAGGACGGGCAGCAGGGTAGCCTTCAGCTTAGGAAAGGGAGGTCCTGTGGGCCTGACTGCTGGTCAGCGTTCTCTAACTGGCATCTGACCTGACCAGGAAGGCGTCCCTCACGTAGCTGGCAGCCCCTCAAATGCCATCTATTTGTGGCCTGTACCCTGCCGCCTGGCAGGAGACATGTGACTGCGGGGCTGTGGTATTTTGGGCAATGGGGGTGGGGCCTGCGCGGCGAGCCCTGCACCATGCTGCTCTGGGACAGGCAGCTTGGATGCCCAGCTCCGCTGCCCCGGCTGGCTGTGGGTTCCCAGGTACAGTACTGTCAGCCCCTCATTCCCACTCTGAGGGGTCCCAAGGCAGACAGCCCCCACTGGGACCTCCCCTAGGACCAGAGGGGAGGACAAGGTGCAGCGGGGTCAGGAAGCCGCAGTGCCCTGGTCTCAAGGCACCTCCATCTCAGGACTTGCCTGGCCAGAGTGACCTCCCACCGCCCTGGGTCCAGTGGCAGCTGACCAAGGCCCAAATGGCAGCCCCCTGCAGGGGGCTGAGAGGTTAGGGGGTGTCAGCCAGGTAGGGTTGCCTTAGTTCACTGAGACGCGGGGAGGGGACCTCTGCCGGCTGGGCAGATCTGGTCAGGGGCACAGACACTGAGGATGGCCCCGGGGGGGCTGGTGGGAATCAGGAGGCTCATTTCTGTTGTGGGACCTCCTGCCCAGGCAGGGGCAGAGCCAGGCTCGCCCTGATGACCCCTGAGAGGGCTCTGGCCAGCACTAGCTTGACCTTGGTAAGCTCAGAGGAATCCTAGCAGTCTGTCCCAGCCAAGGCCGGTGGAAGGTCATCACCAAAGACTGGTCACCTGCTGGGCACTGCGGCTCCTCTGAGGCATGTCGGGATAGTCTGGCGCTGACTGTCGCCCAGGTAAACTGAGCCCTGGTGGGTGGTCCTTGAAATGGGCTTTGGTATATAGAGTTGGCCTCGGTACCAACAACTCTGCAGGAAAGCTGGAGGCTGACCCAGCTGAACAGAAAATGCATAACGTTGTGGAGGAAAACTCCTCCTGGGGATGAAAACCCAAACATGAGGAACCCTATTCTTTAGTGAACTTCACTAACCTGAATGCAGGACTGTAGCAATATGTCACTGTAACGTTATCATTTGCAGTCAGTTTGGGAGCACGGAAGGTGGGTTTCGGATGTTCTAGCTCCAGGAAGCCATCAGGTTTGAGATCAGCACAGCTTCCCTCTGGATTCTGTTTGTTCTGCTTTCTTTCAGGGCGGAGATGGAGTGCTGGCCCCTGAGCCAGGGAGGCGTGGGATGCCCAGGGGGCAGGTGGGGTGCGGGCAGTGTGTGCCGGCCAGGGCCCCGGGCCTGGGCCCATGAAGAGCCTGGTCTGTGGTTCACGTGCCTCTGCTGACCCAGAATGGAGAGCTTCCAGTGCAGCGTCCAGCTGAGCGGCCAGGACCGGGCTGAGTTTTCAGCCGCTGACGCAAAGTGTGCCCTCCTACGGGCCAGCCTGGCCTCTGGGCATGAGCTCTTGTCCAGTAACACTGACCAAAGGGACAGCAGTGGCAGCAGCCCCCCAGGGCCCCTGCCCCTTCCTGAGGGGCAGCTGGCTCCCAGGGGGAGTGACTGGCCTGGCTCTGAGGGGGAGAAGGTAGCCGCCCGGCAGCTGGTCAGCAGGTCTTGGTGTGAGCCCGTGCTGGCCCCAGAGGCCGGTCAGCAGACGCCCAGCGTGTCCGTGCGGCCAGAAGCTCAGCCGTCCCTCAGCCCTGGTGCTGCCCCTCTGGTCCAGGGCTCATCCCTCCCGGGGCCAGTGTCTTCCAGAGGCGAGAGGCAGAGGCTTCTGCAGGGCCCAGCCCCCCGGGGTCTTGCCCCTACTCTCACGGGTGAGCCCGCTCGGAGCCCCGATTCCACCGGCTGCAGCGCTGCCCCCCAGAGGCCCCCTGGCAGCCCTGGAGCCCTGCTGCGCAGCCCCAGCCAAAAGAAGAGGCGGGCTGCAGGCACCAAGGCGGGTGGGCGCTTGGGTGACCCAGGCCCTGCTCCCACCCAGCTGGGCTCCCTACTGCTCACTGAGGCTGGGGCCGAGGACGGCCTTGGCCTGGCTGGGTCCAGGGGGAAGGGTCTCCGGGTGGGGACCACAGGGCAGACAGCAGGAGCTGGGCAGATCGAGCTGGGGCCAGAGTCTCCAGAAGCCCCTGAGCAGGTGGCCAGGCGAGGGCCAGGTGTGGATCTGTCTACATCTGTCCCTACCACTGAGCAGGGTACAGACCTAATCGGAATGACCCTCAGAACTGAGCCACGCACTATATCCACGCTTGACCTGGAGGCTTCTGCAGATGTCACAATGGCTAAGTCAGACGTGGCTTTGTCCACACCCACCTCCGAGCCTCAACCCGATGAGCCTCTGCCTACACCTGCCTCCAAGCCTAGACTGGATGTGGACCTGCTTGTGCCAGGTCCAGGGGTCCAGCTGGAGGTGGGTTCATCTACGCCTGTCTCAAAGGCTATTCGCCGTACAGCTCTGCCTCACCTGGTTTCTGAGGCTGGGTCTGATGTGGGTGTGTCTACACCTGCTCCCATCCCCGAGGCTGGGCCTGACGTGGCGGAGCTGGAGGTTGCCCCAGTGGCCAAGCTGGGTTTGAGCCCTATTCGGTCTCCAGAGGGGGGCCGACAGAAGCCCAGAGGGGAGCCCTCAGCAGGTGCCCCTGGACACCGCACTGGGGAGCCCCCGCTAGGCCCTATCCAAGCCCCCAAGAAGAAGAAAGTGCGATTCTCCATGGCTGTGCCCAGCCCCGAGGAGCCAGGGTCAGGAGAGGCCTTGAGCCCAGCCTTCCCAGCCACAGCCCCCAGGACAGCAGCTGGGGGCCGCAGGGCATCTGGAGCCTGGGACACCGTGGCAGTTGGGCCCTGGACCCCCCAGCCTCGGATCCTGAAGCACCTGCCTCCCCCTGCCCCCTCTGCCTCAGCGGGGCCTGGGCGCAGCTGCTCCTTTGCGGTGACCCTCCCAGAAGCCTATGAGTTCTTCCTTTGTGACACCATCGAGGAAGAGGATGAAGACGTTGAGGAGGAAGCAGAGGCTAGCCAGGCTCTGGCCGAAGTCCAGTGGCCAGGTGTGTGCGAGTTCTTCTTCCAAGATGGCCAAACCCAGAGGTCGAGGCCCCGGGAAGGCCCCTCCCAGGCCCCACCCCTCCAGGCTGAGCCTGTGCCGGCCCCTCCACCAGGAGATCCCACACCCATCTCCATCCCCGAGGCCTACGAACACTTCCTCGGGGAGGACGCGTCAGGGGGCATGCTGGGGCCGGCTGCGCTTTTCCAGATGCAGGCCACGGAGACCCCCAGGTCAGTCCCCTGGGACGTGGGGACCGGCACCCCCCCAGGGCCCAGCCCAGCCTCAGCGGAGCAGCTTGCCCCGGCCATCAGGCAAGCAGGTGTGTGTTGCGGGGACCCCATGGCCTGTCCAGGACCTGGGTACACACTGTCCAGGGAGTTGGGCAAAGAGGGCCACTGGGGAGGGGCAAGCCAGGACCCTGGGTTGCGAGCTGGTGGGGTCCCTCAGGGATGATCTGGGCAGGAAGGACCAGCTCCTGGCCACCCCAGGACCCGGTCCAGGTGGGGCAGCCCCAGTCGAGCAGGGCTTTGGCTCCACACTGACCGTGGCCCTGTGTTCAGGCCCAGGTAACAGCAGTGCCTGCCCCCAGCCTGTAGCAGGCAGGCGTTGGGGCAGCTCCAGCTCAGGCCATGCCGCCTGCCAGAGAAGGCTCGCATTCCCCCTGGACGGTATTTTACAAACCAGGAAACGGTGCCCCAGACGTACTCGCCCAAGTCAGCCTGACTCAACTATGCCACACGTTACCCTGTATCACGGGGAGGATGTGACTCAAGACAGACATGTCTCAGGACAGACATGGCCAGGAGAGACATGTCCCAGGGCAGATGCTTCTGAGTGGGACAACGGCAGGAGCTCAGGACATGCTTCTCTTTCCTAGGGGAACCCCGGGGTCCCCTCACCTCGTTTACCTTCAGCCAGAATGACATGTGCCTGGTGTTTGTAGCCTTCGCTACCTGGGCTGTGAGAACATCAGACCTGCATGCCCCAGATGCCTGGAAAACAGGTTTGTGGGCCCGGGGGGCGGGGTGCTGGTGTCTAGAAGCCAAATGGAGGGGCAGTGGTGATGTCCCAGCTTCTGGGCCAGCAGGGGTGAGGGGCACATGGGGAGGCGCAGGTGTCTCCCCTGACGGGTCTCCTGCGTTGCTCACCCACCCTCACCCCGCTGGCCTCCTCCCATCCTTTGAGAACCCCGCCGTGTGGATGGAGGGTGGGGACCGGGCCGGAATGGAGCCGGCACTCAGGAGGTCTTGTACTTCTCTTGCAGTTCTGCTGGCCAACATCGGCACCATCTCCGCCATCCGGTACTTCCGCCGGCAGGTGGGGCGGGGGCGCCGCAGCCCCAGCTCCTAAGACCCAGGCTCTGCCCAGGAAGACGCAGGATGAGGAAATGTCCACAGGTGCTCAGGATGAGGTGTTGCCCTCAGGCCTTGCCCTTTGACCCTTGCGTTCTGCGGCGTCTAGGAAGGAGCCTGCGTCCTTGGTCCTGGCTCCCTTGGACTCCACCCGAGGGTCCAGCCAGTGGCCGAGGCCGAGGCTGTGTTCCACACTTGGGAGTGGGAGATTCTGGAAGGCTGGGAGGGTAGGCCAAGCAGGAAGCTGGGAGTCAGTAAGGTGCCAGATTAGCAACAAAAAACACAAGGTGTCCATCGAAACTGGAGTAGTTTGAGACCTACTTATGCTAAGGAATTATTTGTGGTTTATCTGAAACCAGAGTTAACTGGAGTCCTAATCCTATGTGGTTATCCTGTTGGAGGGAGGGGCATGATGGGGCTTCAGAGCAGCAGCGAGGCCCCAGCTGGAGATCTGGGCAGAGGGCCTTGAGGCTGGGGGCTGGCGTCCCAGGGACCCTCTGCCCTGTTTATAAGTGGGCTGGGCCGCTGGAGGCCTCTGAGGCCTCTCTAACCCCTGAACCCCAGGGGTCTGTGGTCAAGGCCTCCTCGGCTCCCGCCCGAGATGCTGAGCAGGTACCCAGAGGGGCCCTGCAGGCTGGGGGTCTGTAGGGCAGAGCCTGGAGCCCCTCCTCTGGGGAGCCCTGGAGGAGGTGCAGAGGCAGAAGGCAAGGGTATCAGGTGGAGGGACGGGACACCTGGGTTCACCCAGAGCTGACAGGAGCCGGAGGCGACACAGGAAGGTGGACAGGGTGCGGGCAGTAGCGGAGCAAGGGGGCTGCCAGACTAGGCGCTGGGGGGGCGTCCAGCTCCGAGGCAGCACATATAGGGTCCCCAGGACGCAGGAGACTCCTGCTGCTCAGGACAGAACGCGTGGACACACGGCACCAATAAAATCTCTTTCTTTCTTGTTTAGTCTCTTGCCGCTTTCTCCCGACCTTCACGCGCACATGCGCCCAGGCCACCTTCCTGCCTCCTGCTTGTGATGTCTCAGACCCTGTGCCCTCTGGCCTCACATACTCTGACTCTCGCTAACTGACCTTCTCAGCCCTCTGACCTTTACACCTGTGCCATCCCCCCCTCTCCCAGGTGAAGCCCCTACCCCGAGTCCCCTCCCTCATTCCTTCCCTGAGAGGCAGGCCGAGGTTTGGCCCCTCTGGGCGTCCAGTCACCTTGGCCAAGGTGTCCTGAGGATGAGGCCCTCCTGACCCCTCAAGAGCCCAGGGTAACTCAGGGTTCTGGAGGCCCCCTCCACCTGCTGGGGTCAGACCCTGACTCGATACTGGGTGCCTGTGGCCCCACTAAAAAGCCCCAGGTCCTGCTTCAGCCCCTCCTGCAGGGTCAATGCAGGCAGGTGGTCCCGAGAAGCAGCCTCCTGGTGGCCATCAGATCCACTGGACGAGCCCGCCTTCAGCCTCAGCTGCTCCTCGAGGCCACCGCTGGTGGGAAGGTGACAGAGCTTTGTCCCAGACACTGTTGGAGCTCCTTGGGGGGCGGCCGTCTGGTGGGGAGGGCAGAGATGCATGTGCTTTCAGGAAGCAACACCCAGAGCTTTCCCAGGAAGAGGCAGGGCCCTCACTCACCTGGGGGAGGTGGCGGGGGTTCGGGCGCAACTTCCCTCGCAGGAGAGACCTGGGGACCCCAACGACAAGTCTGAGGGATGGGCCCCCAGACCGGCTTGGTGGCCAGCTCAGGGACCTGCCGGACCCCACCCCCACCTTTCCTCTTGCCCCCACCCCCTTCCTGCCGCTGCTCCCATCCTTGGTCTCCGCCCATCCTCCCTTCCCCCATTTCCGTCTCTCCTGCTCCCTCAGGGTCCCAGGAGGCCCCATGCGGTCTCCTCTCCACCCCCTCCACCCCCCGCTGCAGAACCCCTTGCCCGGGGTGGGGGCTGCTACTCACAAGCTGAGGGGAGCCTGGGGGCCGGGACCCCCGGCCCTTGATGGAGCCGCGATGCCGCTGAGAGGCTCGGGCCTGCGGGACTCCCTTCTCGGAGAGCAAGTGGGGGCCGGAGAATCCAGAGCTGGGGTCAGAGACAGGCACGGACACGGGGCCAAAGGGGAATGCGCTCGAGGGCTCAGGTCCGAGTGAGCTCTGCATCGCACTGAGGAACTGTCAGGAGAGCGTTGGTGACTGAGGCCCTGGGCTGGGACCTCCGTGCAGCTGAGGGGCCCCTGCCCCAGAAACCCCCTTAGCTTCCTGTGGCAGCCTGAGCAGATCTCAGGCTTCAGGCACCCTCTCAACCTCAGGCTGTGGCCACGTCCAGCTCTTTCTGTCACCCAGCAGGGGACTGACCTTGTCCAGGTCCTGGATGTCTGTGACCCTGCGGCGGGAAGTGGCAGGTGGTGTGTAGGGGTCAGCGTAGAGCGGGGAGTGTGGTGTCTCCAGAGAATGGTCTGGGGCCTCAGGGCCATCCTCCAGCCTCAACTACAGGCAAGAGACAGAACAGACAGAACCGCTGGAGCTGGAAGCGTCCAAGCCCTCCCTTCTCTGTGCAAGAAGCCTCTGGGTGGCTCCAGGACCGAGGAGGCCGGGGAGATGGAGGGCGGGAGGGAGAGCCATGCCTGGAGCCGGGGTCAGCGTGCTGGGCCCACCTTGGTCAGGTCCAGGTGCAGTGGGGTGGCTGGACCGGGCCCCTCGCCCTGGGCCTTGCTCCTGGGTGATCGGTTGCTGCCGGCCCGTCTAAGCTTTGCCTTGTGCCCACCGACACTGGGGCAGCCAGGGCTGGCTTGCTCCTGTGGGGACCAAGGACCTTCCAGAATGTTCCCCAGGGCCCTCTCCCACATACCCCTCTGAGGCTACACAGAGCCCCTCCGGTCTGAGTCCCCTCCCCTGAGGAACTAGGGCCCTACTTGCAGTGGGGTCCCCAACACAAACTCGCCGCAGTGTCCCCCGCCCCCTTCCTCTGCCCGTCCCCCCCCCCAGATACTCACTGGTGCGGGCCGGGCAGGGTAGCCTCCGGTGGACTCAGGCGTGGAGTGGCTGGTGTGGTTGGAGGTGGGTGCTGGGCACCCCGAGTCCCAGCTGGTCCGTCCGCCAGAGGACAGTGAGCCTCGGCCACTGCCCACAGCCTGGGCAGCCGGCGGTGGGTAAGGGTGAGCCGGATGGCAGGGCTCCTCCCCACACCGCCCCGGGCCCAGGCCCACCCTCCTGTTTCACCGCTGCCCAGCAGCACCTCCCCTGCTGACTCCTCACCTGTGGGGGCGCCCGCAGCCCCGGGAAGCTCTCGGGTCCGGGCAGTGGGGAGGTCCTGTCCTCGCGGCAGGCCGACTGCAGGCAGAGCAGCCAGTGGCCATAATCCTCGTAGCTGGCACACACCACACGGATGGTGTTGATGAGACGGCCTGGCACACAGATGCCGTGAGGGGGCCTGGCAGGCAGGGTGCCCCCTGCAAAGCCCCGGTGCAGAGCTGGGTGCGCGCTAGGCTCACACCCTCTCTCCCAGGCCTGGCCTCTGCCCACCTTCGATCAGGAAAGAGCGGATCTGTTTCTCCGTCTCGTTCAGGTTGATGTGGATGGCGCTGAGCGGGAGCTCCCCCTGCGGGGCATCCAGGGGGGACGAGGCCTTAGTTAGGGGGAGCAACCCTTGTGCCCACTGCCCCGTCTTGTCCTCCCGAGCTGGGAGGGCACTCGGACGCCAGGCAGAGGGCAAGGCAGGTCCAAGGCCGACACCCCGTGGGAGGCCAGGCACTCCCCGTCTGTCCTTGGGGGGTGCCTTCACCCCCGGTCTCCAGGTGGGGCCTTCGCCAGCCAGTGGCCGACACAGGACTGGTCGGGGACTGGTCCCCTGGGCCACCCGCTAAGATGGGGGTGGGTGGGAAGGGATTACGAGGAAGCCCCCTGTGTGTTTCTCAGTGACTGAAAGCCATGATCACCCCCAGAGTAGAATGTAGTGCCCTGATGCACATGACACTCGCTCTGGCCCCGAAGGACCTTCACACCCACGCCCGGGCCCGCACGTGCACACATACACGCATAAGCCTCAGGCACCAGGAAGATGCCGCTCAGAGGTCTAGGCCCCTCTTAGGGGCACCAGGGGCCCCCACGCCACCCACCCAGGTGATGGGTCTGCTGGTGCCTGAGGACCCTCTAGGATGACACGGGACGCTGAGGCAGGGCACCCACCTTCCTCGCCCACGTCAGGCTAAGACCAGACTGACCAGGGCAGCGGGCTGGGTGGGTGGGGCCAGTGCTATCTGTCCCAACAGGCCCCGAAATACAGGTTCCTCCTGAGCTGCTGCCCCCTCCCACCCCCACGCAGAGGGTGTGTCCCTGGGGCGGGTCCACAGTGGGGAGGGACCCACCTTAAAGCAAAGCCCATCTGCTTCCTCGGAGAATATGGCCAGGGAGGTCGGGTACAGGACCAGGAGCCGGTCCCACTGCTCCTGTGAGGGGCCGCAGGGCAGAGTAGGGGCTCCACCGGCACACACCCAGGGCCCCCACCTGCCGCCTGCGCCCCTCCCCCACCTCCTCCACCTCTGCGCCCCCCACCCACCTGTGAGGGCAGATGCTGCAGCTTGACCCGTGAGGCGCAGATGGCGGTGCCCACCACCTGGAGCCCTGATGCCGTCCGCAGCGGGGTCAGCCTGCGCTGCAGAGTCCAGGGGAGCTCGTTCTCAGGGGGGCCCTGGTAGAGGGGGTTCAAGGGCAGGAGGAGAGTGGGGATGGAAAGGGGCGTGGGGTTCCCAGCACTGACCTGCGGCGGTGCCGGGTGGCGGCGCGGCACCCCTCCCACGAGGGCTATCTGCTTCTCCAGGTGGTAGAGCCAGCGGTCCAGCTCGGCCTGGCTGGGGCAGAGCACGAGAAGGGGGGCGGGCAGCGGGCCTGCGGGAGAGGGGCAGAGTAGGCTAGGCCAGCGGCCACAAGAAAGGCTCCTCAAGGGTTGGGGGGAGCCACTGATGACCACACGCACAGCTCTGGAGGCCCCCGACCCACTGCCCTCCGCCCCAGCCCGGCAGACGCATGTGTGCCCATCGGAGGAAAGGCCAGGACCCCTCAACATGCTCCGAGCCCCGCCCGGGTCCTGGGGCCGGTCGACGGCCAGGTTCACTGAGCAGCCTTAGTGCTCTCGCCCTCCTGGGGGCCAGGTCAGCACAGGCAGCACCCCCGTGGCCCTGCGCACCTGTGATCTGGAAGGCATGCTCTCTGGATCCCTCGAGCGGGCAGACACTCAGCTCCATCAGTGGTAACAGCCCCTGCCAGAGCACAGCGGGAGGGAAGGGCTGGGGGACTGGGCCCAGCAGGACTGGGCCGCGTGCCCCCCAAGGGGCTGCTCTCTCCCTCTCCCCCAGCTCCTCCGCTGCCCATGTCCCCTCACCTGGAAAGTGAGTCCTTCAGAACCATGGGCCTGGAAGTAGAGGTGGGAGGGGAAGAGCTCCAGGTAGCAGTCGCTGATGTCCTGGGGGAGAGTGGGGCCAGGGTCTGAGGGCTGGGGGCAGGCCCCGGGGTGGCCCTCAAGCATGCCCCTCCCGGCCCGGCCCCCCACCTGGCTGTGCTGGAAACGCAGCTGGACCTTGGTGTAGTGCACAACCGTGCCCAGGCTCCTCACGGGCGCCCTCCGCTGCCCTGCTTTGAACACACTCAGGAAAGTCTGCTCCAGGTTTTCTTGCTGGCTCTCCAGGCTCGGGATGCTCTGGGGTGGGGGCAGAGCTCAGGCGAGGGGGCCTGACCAGCGGCCAGCAGCCCTGGCCCCCAGTCTCACAATACACAGGTTAAGAACGCGCACGCAGCATCACACGTGTGTACAGAACCCTGTCCACACTCACAGCCTCTTCACATGCAAACAACGCAGCGCGCACACACACACACACACACACACACAGCCTCTTCACGTGCAAACAACACAGCACACACACACACACACACACACACACACATACAGCCTCCATGCCGGTCACAGAACTCTGTGCTCTAGTCTTGGAGGCATCGAGGTTTCAATTCAATGCAGATACAACCTTAGCTTTGCTATTTCCCAACCGTGTTCCCTTATTTTGGTTATTCAACCTCCCAAGACTTGTTGGTCAGAAGGGTTTTCAGGTATCCAGGTGAGACGATGCTCGAATCCCTCCCACACCTCAGGGTTGGCTACTAACATTTTAAAACTTGGTTCTACCAAGAAAGAGGGGGGCTGATTTGTAGTATTTGCCAATTTCCCTGGTGTAAGTACTCCCGTCACAGCCCATTTCAAGCCACCAGCACACTGCCACACGCCCCCAATCTCCCTCTCAGCGGAGGCCAAGGTCCTGACAATGACCAAGGGGTCCTCTCCCCTCACATCAGGCACGTGCCCGTCTCAGGACCTTGGCCTTGCTGCCCCCTCTGCCTGGACCACTCAGCTCGGACCACTCAGCCCAGCCCCTTCTCACCCCATCCAGAGCCTGGCTCAGACCCCCTTCTCTGTGAGCCCCTGTCCGGGTGCCCTTCCAACATTCTAGCCTCACTGACCCCCGCGCATTGGTCCTCCTGTACGTTTCTGCTCAGCGCTGGCCACGTCTGGCTTACTCTGTCTTTTACTTCTTTGTTTTATCACCTGGCTTGGTCATGGGATGAGAACGGTACGAGAATGGGGCCCGTTGCTGGGCCAGGGCCTAGGACGGGCCTGGAGTGTGCTGGGGGCTCCATGTCTGTCTGCTGAAGACAGGGAGGGTGAGTGCCCACCAACAGCTGACCCTGGCACACAGAGAATCCTCTATAAACAGGGGCTTGACTGTCAGAATGGAGTCAGACCGGGACAGGCACCGAACTGGGGCTGGAGGGGCTGAGGTCTGGGATCAGGGTGTGCTGGGGAGCTGGCAGGGGCTGCTGTGCCCTGACCAAGCTGAGGCACCCCTTGGGCAAGCCCAGGAATGTGAACAGACAGACTCACAGCTTGCTGGCGTCCCTGCCTTTGGGTGGGGCCTCCTGCACCCACACCCAGTGCAGGGAATGATGCCGGACGGGACCCATGAAAAACAGGCCACAGTGCAGGAAGGGCCACGCAGCTGGGCCTGTGGCCTGGGCTCAGCCCTGGGGCCGTGGCTGGGCAGGCTCTCGTGTGGGTGTAGAACCCACACCCGGGCAGGGCTCGCGGAGCGCTGGCTCCTCCCCCGGCCCCACTCCCAGAGGTTCAGCAAGCCGGGTCCCCTCTCCAGCTGCCATGTCCCGGCCCAGGCGGAGCCTGGACAGAGGGAGCTGAGGTCTGAGATGCGGCCACACAGAGGGATGCCGCCTGGGACTTGTCGGAAGTGCTCTGTCCACTTCTCTGAGGCAGCCTGGTCTCTGAAGCCAGCACTTGGCCACAGGGAGCCCAGGACACCCCAGGGAGGAGGAGAGGGGACAGCCCGACTGGGGCACTTGGGAAGCTGGCTTGGGAGCCCACACCAGCTGTTTTGAGGACCGAGGGGCGCAGGGCAGCTGTGTCTGGGGCAAGGACCTGGGAGGTCACTTCTCTCACATCCCAGGGCCTCTGCACACAGCAGAGCCTTGCCCCACCCCTTGCCATGCTGCGTTAAAGGGCGGGTGTCTCTCCCCCTCGGCCAGCTGGGCAGGGGCTTAGGGGTGGCGTTCAGCTCGGGGTGGCCTGCCATGTGCTTGGGAGCCATGTCCCTGTGGCAGGGCCTGGGGGCGGGGCGCAGGGGCTGCTGTGGGATGAGGCAGCGGTGGACACTGAAGGGACACCCCTTGGAGAAACCAGGGCCGAGGGTAGGGGGGAGGCCGGCTCACTGTGCACCCGAAGCCCCTAACTCTCGGAGTGACAGGGGGGCGTGGCGGTTCACGGCCCTGTCACCAGCCTGACGCCTGTGCCCACACGGCAGCAGCCAAGACACGCGTGCTCGTCCAGCTCCAACGTGCCCAGACACGCTGTCCTGGGCCCGGGCCCGGGGCGGGGGGCGGACACCAGGGCCCCCAGGCAGGGCTGGCGCGTGGCGGGGCGTGGAGGCCCCGCCCCACCGCCCCACTGACTCAGGGCCGGGCCTCAGTTTCACTCTGCTCAGACTTTCGGCCGATGAGCTTCCCAGGGCAGGGCTGCACCTACTTCCTCCCTGTGCCGTGGACTTGACTCCCCTGGTCCGACGGGGAAGACGCCGGGCCCAGCACAGGCAGGACACACACGCGCGGTCACACGCAGACCACCACGGCCACGCCCCCTCGAGCCAGGGCTCACTGACCGGCTGCTCACCGTTCCAGGGATGAAGCGGAAGATCTTGTCGGCAGTGGTGTCCCCATCCGGACTGGCCTCGGTGCCAAACAGGCCGACCAGCTTCCGGGCGCCGTCCTCTCTGGGAACAAGGGAAGGGGTGCTCACAGCCTGGCCCCCGAGGCAGATTGAGGGAGATCCTGTGACCGAGCGGCCGCAGCTGTACCCTGCCCCGCCTCACCTATTTCCCTTCAGCGAGGGCTTTCTGGAAAAGGAGGCTCGGAGCCTCCTAGGGGCCTGAGGGACACAGTGGCTGTTCCCCATGGGCAGCGGTGGCAGCCGGCCCGAGTAGAGCAGGTCGACAGGTCTGGGTCCCTCTGTCCCGAGCCTCCTGCCCCACCTCCTGGGGCGGGGCTCTGGGGCAGCCTGCCCTGTACCCAAGGGCCGGGGAGGCGGAGCCTTTCTGGGAGGGACCTGGCCCCCACCTGAGGCTGAGCTGAGCCTTTCAGTTCCCTGCCCGGGGTCCTCCACACACGCCAGCCAGCGGGGGGCAGGGAAGGCTGCCCTCCTCTCACCGCCCAGTGAAGAGCCCCCAGTCTGTACAGGAGGGGGCCCACAGGCCAGACTGTGATTGCATCAGACTGGGGGTGCCTAGAGCTGGAGCTCCGTGAGCCTAGGCATCCCCTTCCAGACCTCCCCACCGTGTGAGCACACATCCTGTTTCCACCGAAATGTCTGTTGCTGAGTCACCAGTGGCTGCGGGGGCTGTGAGCTTGCTCTCAGCTGTTGAAGCAGGGATTTGCAACTGGCTCAGGGGAAGCCAGGACCCTCCCGCAGCCTCCTCTCTTGCCTCAGTCCAATCCTCACCCCAGATCAAGGTCAGGGTCCCCAAGGCTTAACCAGAATCCAGGAGGGAGGCCATGACCCTCCCAGGTGCGCCTGGGACAGCCATGGTGAGGGGGAATGCCACGCATAGCCAGGAGTTAACACACTGGCCACCACAGCCCTGCCCCTGGATGTGATGGTGCGGCCTCCAAGCCCCCAGGTGCCAACACAGCATCTCGGCCCAGCCGCACAGCCACCCCAGGCCCTCCTGGTCACCCCAGACGGGACCCTGAAAGACAGAGATGGACACTCAGCCACAGGCCCGCAGAGCCCAGGAAACGTGTTTATTGTTCAAGGGGCTCATATTGCTGTATGCGGCCTGCGGTGTACGTGTGCCCAGCTCAGTGCAGGATCCAGAAATGACACCACAGCCACGGGAAGGAAGCCCGATTCGTGCCCGCCCCCGCCGGGAGTGTGCCTGGCTGGGCGAGGCAAGGAGGTGTGCAAAGCTCAGGCTGGGGGTCTGCACCTGCTCAGAAAGTCCCCCCCCATAACTTCTCTGCATCACTCCTCGGTCCCTCCAGGTCTAGAGAGTCCAAGTTGGCCCCTTACCCACGGGCAACGCCAGTGTCCACCCTGTCGCTCCCCAGTGCCCCCAGCACGGTGGGAGGACACCCAGGAGGGCAGCTTGGTCCCAGAGACAGGACACTTTAAAAGTAAACGGAGAGACCGGCAGCTGCAGCCTGCTCACCACCAGTCAATAAATAAACGAGTGAATAAATAAACGGCACACAAACAAACACTGAGGAAGGAACACAGAAAGCCGCGGCCTAGACGCGCGGAGACTGGACAGACGGCCCCGTACGTTCCTGGTGGGGGCCGAGCCCCGCCCCACACGCAGGGGAGGCAGGCGCTGGGCCCAGGGGGCTTAAGGCACGTGGGAGGCCGCGGGCGGGTCTCTGCGCAGCCGCACCACGGGTCAGAGGCTGGTGGACGACACGGACAGCGTGGGCGAAGAGGGCGGCGGGAAGTTGAGCAGCTCGAGCACGGCCACGCCCACGCTGCTGCGCCGCGTGAACATGCAGGACGCGGCCACCCACTTGTTGGTCCTCGGGTTGTACTTCTCAATGGAGTTGAGGCTGGAACTGCCATCGTTGCCCCCTACGGCGTACAGCCATCCATCCATGGACACCAGGTCGTGTGTGCTCCTGCCGGCAGGGCGGACAGGGAGAGGTAAGGGGCGAGGGTGGGGGTGAGGAGGGCGCAGGGCCGGGTCTGGGGCGGTAGCCACCTGAGGAGCCTCAGGGGGCGGGGCCTTGGGAGGTATCCTGGGGGCGGGACGGATGGGAGGGGGAAATGAGCCGGTGAGGCGGGGCCTTGGCATGATGGGGGCGGAGCCTTGGAGCAGTGGGGGCGGGGCCCTGGAGGGAGAGACCTGGGAAGGAGGTGGGGGCACACGCCGCGCAGGGGTGAGAGCCTGGGACACATCTGTCGGGGTCGGGGGTGCAGACCGCTGTGGTGGTGACAGGTGTGGGGGCCAGCACACCTTCGGATGTTCATGGGCGCCACACTCTCCCAGGCACCCGCCTTGGGGCTGTATCTCTCCACAGAGTTGAGGCAGCTGGTGCCGTCATTGCCACCAGCCACGTAGAGGGCCCCCTCCAGCACCGCCACACCCGCGGAGCTGCGCCGGCTCAGCATGGAGGCCACGGGCGTCCAGGAGCTCACCTGCGGTGGAGGGACGGGCTGGGGGCAGACCCACTACCAGCCTCCCTCCGTCTCCACGTGCAGGACTCTAGTCCAGGGTGGGGTGTCTGTGGGACAGGGTGGACGTAAAGGGATGACCCTCCGGGGGATGGGGGTGGCCAGAGAGTGATGGCCCGAAGTAGCTCTGGGGAAGGGGAACGTGTGACTGGGGTGTTTCGCACCTGGGGCTCATACTTCTCCACGGTGGCCAGGTGTGACGAGCTGTCATAACCGCCCACGGCGTACAGGTTCCCATCTGCAGAGAGTCAACGCAGCCATGGTGCACCTGCTGTGTGCGGGGTCCCCGGCGTGGGAGCTATGCGAAGCAGTCACCCACCGAGCATGGCCACGCGCACATATCGCCTCCGGGTGCTCATGGCGGCGATCGACGTCCATGTTCCCGTCAGGGGGTCGTAGCGCTCGGCACTGTAGACACCAGGACGGCCGCTGACCTTGAGCAGTGGCAGAAAGGCAGTCCCGGCCCCACGACCTGGCCTCCCCCGAGGAATGACTAAAATTCTGTGCTAGGCAGTCATGGAGGCTGACCCCAGAGTCCCACTGGAGCAGGAAGCAGGGCCTACTGGGTGGACACAGGCCACAGGCTACCTGGATAATGCTGGGCGAGTGTCCACCTGGGCCCAGCCCCTGGCCTGGTGGGAAGGATGCCAGAGAGAAAAGAAGAGGCCACTGGGCTAGCCCAGATGAAGAGGCACAGGGGACCCTGGTGACCTGACTCAGGCAGGGTCCCCCTTGGTTCCCCTCAGGCAGGACCTCTGCGGTCCTGATGCAGCCACACCTGCTAAGCCAACCCTGAAAGGCCACCCGGCCCTGACCCCAGCCACTACCTGTTGAGGCAAGAGGCCCCATCGTAGCCACCGGCTGCATACAGGAGTCCGTGCAGGGCAGCCACACCCAGGCAGCTGCGCCTCGTGCCCATGGACACCTCAGGCTGCCAGGTGTTGGTCACAGGGTCGTAGGACTCTACGGTGGCCAGGTCTGAAGTCCCATCGTAACTAGGGGAGGGGTTCGCTGCCAGTCAGGGTTGGCCCAGTGGGCACGTGCCAAGCCCCTGACCCGAGCCCAGCCCCCACTCTTACCCGCCCACGGCATACAGCCGGTTCCCGACTGCCGCCACGCCCACCCGGGCCCGGCGCGCGGACATCGAGGCCACCACATGCCAGCGGTCAGCGCGTGTGTCGTACGCTTCGCAGTCGCCGTGGATGGCGAACAGGCTCCCGCCACCTAGGCAGGGGGAGGTGACGGGCAGGACAAGGGGCCAGGGACGCAGTGGGCTAGGAGGCTCTAGCACAGCCCGAGGCTGAGGGCCTGGAGGCTCCAAGGGCAAGTGGGGCCAGTGACTGGTGAGCAGGTCACGCCGCGGTGGATGGAGGAGCAGGTGTGGGGTGAGTGCAGGGTGCCCACGGCACGGGGTGGGGGGGCTTGTGCTGGGCTTCTGGGTAGGGACACGGGGCGTAGGGCAGGGATGGGGGACCGGACGGGATGGGACGGGTGGGCGTACCCACAGCGAAGAGCACAGGGCCAGCGCCCTCACAGCGCCGGGGCCGGGTGCGGCTGCTGCCCAGGACGCCCCTCTGCTCGGGCAGCAGGTGGAACTTGAGGGCCTCAATGAGTAGGTCCTTGCAGTCTGGGTGGTGCCGCACCAGGCTCTCGGCGTCCACGTGGCCCAGCAGGAAGTCCCGGCTCAGCAGGGGCAGGCGTACACACTTCATCAGCTGGGGTGTGGTAGCACGCCTGCTATGGTCAGGCCTGCTCATGTGTCCTAGACCCTCCTCAAGACACATGCTTGCATCACCCCTGTGGGATCTCTGGACACAGAAGGGCCCAGGCACGCCTGATCCTCAGTCACTGCATCCCCTCCCAAGCACCGCAGGCCCCCCAGCGCCTGGCCTCACCCGAGGAACGTGCTGCCTCCGGGTATCCACGTCGTGCTTGACCCAACTCAGGACGGCACGGTAGACGTCCTCCTCTGAAGGCACGTTCAGGCTGTCGCTAGAAACCAGTTCCAGCACCTGGGGGTGGGGACCCTCAGACCTGAGATCTGGGGACGGGCTTGGGGACCCATGGAGCCCTGAAGGTGCCTGGGAGGGAGAGTCCAAGGGGGCCCAGTGTTCCTATGAGGAAGAGCCAAGCAAGGTCAGGAGTCACAGACCCAGTTCCCAAGGGCCTAGCTCCAGAGCAGTCCTGGGAGTACGGAACCAGGCACGGGAGACTGTGGGCAGGTGTGTAATCAGGACAGGAGAGTGTCAGGTATCAATGGTGATGGCTTGTGTGGGGTTAGAAAATGGGGGTGGGGAGTTCCCAGGGGATGGGTGGCGGGGTTGGAACGTCAGTCAGAGACTGGAGATAAAGACTAAGGAGCAAAGGACCAGGTCTTATGGGCCCAGATGATGGGGGCCGGGGGGCCAAGGCTGGTACTGGGGTCTGGCGATTGGGTCAGGGTTGGGGTCCGAGTCAAGGTCCAGGCTGTGCTCCAGCTGCCACGTTACCTGCTTCAGCGGCAACAGCATGAACTCCTCAGTCTTGGCCACGTCCACGAAGTGCTGCAGCACGTACCTGTGTGCCGCCTTGAGCAGGTCACTGCACGAGTGTGTGTCGGCGAAGCCCCGGATGCCCAGACAGTTGGAGGGGTCGAGCTGACTCAGCAGGAACTTGCAGCAGGCGTCACGGACCCCATTCAGCTGCAGAAGGCTGGCGGCCGGGAGCAGAGTCTATGGGGCAAGATGGGAGAGAGGGCCAGGGGAGCAGGGACAGAGAAATGGACGTGAGGACTGAAGGGGTGGCAGCGGTACAGGGGATGCTGGGGGCGTGGGGAGAGCGGAGGCACAAGCACGGTAGCGGTACAGGACGTGAGAGGTGAGGCAGCCTCACCTGCACGTTGCC